GGGGGGGCTTCTAATATGGGGTGGGCTTCTATTATGGGGGGGGGGGGTTTACATCTTGAGGGTGTGGGCGTGAATGAGGATAAGATGCATATGATATACTTATACTCGCATCTACAGCCACAACCTATTTGTAAGTACTGGTATGTACGATGTACTAATAAAAGAAAACAGGAAGTCAGATCAAAGTAAAACTCAATTTTGAAAATATACATCAGAGTGCCGGACTACTTATTGCACTGTATCGGATGAACATGAAACAATTTATAGTATGTTTCAGCAAACGTTGTATGATGTAAATTATTTTCTATTGATTGTTCTATTTTTAGAAAAAATTCGTTAAAATTTAATACTAGGATTATTTAAATTAGTAACAAATGTTTGTATTAATTTATACCGATTCATTGGAAATAAAGAATTATTTAATAGATCTAAACTTATATAATTATGAGGAGAATATTTTTTTATTAAAATAGAATGCTGAATACCATTTTCTAATAACATTGGTTTTTCTAATTGAATCATTTCCATTGAATGATAAATCAATTGGTTTGTTGTTCTTTTTTTTCTTACCTTTATTATTACTGATACGAATTTTATGCTGAGCCTTATTCATACACAATTACTAGTATTTTAATTTGTTTCGTAAACTTCCAAGTATTCCTATTATTTATAGCACGTGATAAAACGATTTATTCCAAGTTTGTATTAATCAACTCAACATGCAAACTCTTTAGTATTTTAAGACAAATTCCTAATGATAATTCAATGAAGACATACATATTAAAATCTTATCATAATTAATAGATTTTCAGTGAATAATCTTCGTGATCTAATTTTTATCAAAGTAAACATTTTCTTTTGTTATTAACATATATTTGACTTAAGGGTGTGCGGAAAGTAAAACCAATACTTACCCTTATACCTATAGTTCATCCTTGAGATGAAATCAATTAGACTATGTGTTGATGGTATCGACATATGTATCGTATGTCATTTACTTTTTATTCATCATACAAGATTTCGTTCAACGCTATAACAAAACAATTCAATTGCACGTAAGTTACTATTGTTTCCTTCTTTATATTGTTTTACTCCACAACCACTATTCAAAGTAATATTTTTCTCTACTTTATTTATAACAGGAAATACACGCATGAATAATTAGAAACGTAAACATGTGTGACAAGGCCATTCATACACATATGTATGTATACGCATCACGTTATCAGTCAGCTTTGTTCGTTACATTTTAGTTATTTATAGATTTATTCTCTGATACATGCATGAGTTAGTACAAAGTAGAATTAATTCAACTATAAGTAAACAAAATATTTTTTATAAGTTCTTTTTTAGAATTTCAATATTGTTCTTCACAGTTTTTATATTAGGATGAGTTGGAGGTAATGCACGTTGTAATATGTCCAGAGCACTTTCATAATATGATAGTGCTTTCGAATAGTCTTTCATATTTTTATATACCAAACCGATGTTGTTGTATGAAGTAGCCAAATCAGGATCACTTGAAGGAAGAGTTTTTTCTTCAATTTCAAGTGCTTTTTCATAAAATGAGAGTGCTTTCGAGTACTCTCCCATCATGTCATACACCAAACCAATGTTACTGTATAAAGTAGCCAATGAAGGATGATTTGAAGGAAGAGTTTTTTGACAGATTTCAAGTGCTTTTTCGTAAAATGAAAGTGCTTTAGTGTATTCTCCCATGTGATCATACACCAAACCGATGTTGTTGTATGAAGTAGCCAAATCAGGATGATCTGAAGGAAGAAATTTTTGTACAATTTCAAGTCGTTGCTCGTAATACCAAATAGCCTTTTTATAATCACTCTGGCCATCTTTGACATGTCCCAACCGATCATAGTAAATCGCTTTTTCATCCTCATCAGATGTTTGTTCGAGTAATACGTTATAAAGTTCTTCAGCCTTAGTAAGTTGCCCAATTTTTAGCAATAATTTACCCAATCTATCCCATCCACTATCACCAACAGTTTCCTTCCGTATCCTATCAGTAAGTAATCGTAGTTCTTGATCATCATCTGATGTTAATTGTAATTGAACTTCATAAAGTTGATTCACAGTGTGCATTTGTGTGATTGTATTCACTCGAAAGACGGTGTGCATTGAGAAGAGAATTTCTTCTTCTTCCTGAAGATAACTCTTTTCTTTAATAGAGGCAAATGGTATTGATTTAATACAAGGATCAATCGTCATTATAAAGAGAATGCCAACCGTATCCGGTTTTGTCGAAGCACATTCAGCAAATTCGAGAGATACTTGTTTATCTTTACTCGTGGACAAGAAATTGTTAAATGACATAAGTCCACCTTTTGTTTTCTGAAGTTTTTGAAAGTCTGATTTCATAAGACCTTGTCCTCGATCAACTATAAATTTTTCTCCAACATAGATGCTGAGCTGTTGTTCGTACAGTTGTTGAATTTGTTGATGCAGATGACACATAAAAAAACCCATAGTAATAATTGCATCAGCGTCCAGTGTTCGAAGAGCATAATTGAGCATTGAAAAGATATTCGATGGGGAAGTATACCACCAAACAGCTAGCTCGGGATGGTATTCTTTCTCAAAACGGTTAATATTAGTTGAGGACACAGTCGTTATTTCGACAGTATGTAATAAAGTATTTAATAGCCTGTTCATTATGTTGCATATTTAGAAGAATGTCCTTGAATAGTTGGGTATACATAAAAGTTGGCTCCAACTGATTTAAATTATGAGTTGAATCCAATTCATTTACCGTGATAAAACTCATAGCAATTGAGTCTTTATTGTATTGCTTGACATTCAGTTGTAATGCTTGGCATAGATCTTTGATACTGGTATGAACGCTTTTGATTTTTCGCCATTTTGTTGCCCATTTTTCATGTAAGGATTTGATATTACTAAAGAGATAGATACTATCCAGTTGAGGAATATCATTGATAAGGGGCATTATTTGTTGAGCCATACTATTTTTGACAACAAGAAAACACTTGATATCTTGACCATCTGTAAGAAAGTCGATGCATTCATCTTGTTGCTTAAAGACATTGACATCATTAGTAACAGTTCGTAATTGTGCCAAGTTATTTTGGAAAACTTTGTTTGTTTCGTTCATATCTTCATCTAACCAGAGGAGGGAATAGTTTCGAACCATCCGCCGTCGTGGTTGACTAACATCAGCTGATATTATTGTTGTATTATTGTTATTCATGAAAGCGTTTGTTGATGAGGAAGCATTTTGATTTGACCCTGATTCACTCATTTTTTCGTTATAATAATTTGATGCTGAATATAAGCTTGCCAATAATTGTGGTTGTTGTT